CATTGTAATGTCCTATTGATTAGTACTCAGTAATCTATTGTTTTTTAAATGTTTATTAATTGATTTGGTTAGTACTGTTTCCAGTATAATATAATAAATATAGGGTTCAGTCCACCTAATTATACTTATTCACTTATTGTGTTTTAAGGAGCTCCATCTTGGATTCATTTCTTGGCCACAGTATTTTGCAATTTCTTCATGTGAAAAATGGAACTACTTCTAAAATTTCAGTATGAATTTACATTTTTAAGATAGTGAATAAAACTATTTTACTCTGCTTTTTAAATTTCAAATGTAAGTACCTTCAAATGTAAGGCATAAAAACTGCTCTTTCAAAGTTGTCTTAATCTATTCCAAATACTATCAGTGGGAAAACATATGCTTTTATCTTTGTAATCAAGGTGTGCTACTACCTGGTGTTCTTTTTATCATCTCATATTTTCCCTTGAGACTAGGTAGTATTCTGTAATTCTTAAAAAGCTGTGCAAGCAGGCATATCTACCATTGTACATTTATGACCACTGAAAAATCAACTCCTTCACGAATCTTATTAGTAGAGAATGTACAGGGCACATAACTTTTCTGTGGCAGATTTCATCTTCAGTTTACTGAATGCCACAGGAACATATATCCCATCTCACTTGATCTTACAATATGATGCCACTGTTTCTCCACTGAGTGGTGACAGTCTATGTTCCTTCCCCTTGAACTCAGAGATAAATCTTCGTAACTGCCTTGACTAATAGCATGTGGTAGAAGTTAGCCTGTCATAGAAGAGGTAATATGTCTGTCTCTGTCTGTATGCATTTGCCTTTGGAACCCAGCTGCCATGTTGTGAGGAAGCCCAAATCACATGCAGAAACCACACAGAATTACCACTGACAGACTGACAGCCTCAGCTACGGACCCAGCAAACAGCTAACATCAACCACTCGACAAGCCTTCAGATCAGAGTTACCCATAAAACTTCTACATTTGTACTAGCTAATATGGTGACCTACTGACACATGAAGCTATTGAGTAATTATAATTGCTAGTGTGAATCAGGAAGTGAATTTTAAATTCTATTTAACTTTAGTTAATTTAAATTTCAATAACTACATGTGGCTAATGGCTGCCACACTGGACAGTTTAACTTCACCTCTGAATCTTTCAGCTGAAGCGAGCAGACCTCACAGACAGACCCACTGTGCTTTCTCCATACTCTTAATTCTCCTAAGCCATGGGAGATAAGTGATTCTTGTTGTTTTAAGCTACTCAGTTTTGGGATGATTTATTACCCAGCAGTCGATGATAAATATGCCTTTTCTACTATTTGGGTTTTTTTTTATCCTCTACCACAAATAAAATTGCAAGTCTCCCCTATCTAGCACTCTAGCTGTGGTTATGTGTCTCTTCTCTTCCCAGCCAGGTTTCTTAACTGGATTGTCTACACTTACCATCCTCACTCACAGCTTATTCACTAGTCAACACCTGCTAGGCTTTGGATACAAATGAGGTGACAGTAACATTGATTCAGGCTTATTTCTCCCCCTTGGACACTCAAGAAGTCAGTGCTCCACCCTGTCTTCATGTTCTCCCCTTATTTCTGAGCAAAGTTCACCTTTGCATAAAAGGTCACCTCTTCCTGGCTGAGAAATAGCAAGAAAACCATTTTTTATGAGTGGACAAGAAAAAGATACCCCTTTTAGAAAAAGCCACCCCTTGCTGAGGGCCGATGCAGTCCGTGGCTAGAGTCCATGGCAGGACAAGTGGAGGCTGGGCTGGGTTTCAGCCGCTGTGAACTGCCCTCAGTCAGATGTCCTTGGGCAGAGTGCCAGCAGCACGGGCTGCGCCCAGTGTCTGGGGTGCCCCAGACGGTCTCATGCGTGGCCCTCAGTGCCCCTCTCAGGGGCTGCTCTGCTCCCCACGTGGATGCCTGTGGCCCATGAAGCCTCTGGAGGGTGGCTTCTTGTGAAACACCCAGGATATGGACACCCTTTCCAGCCCTTTCTACAGTTTCGAACTGTAGAACACTTGAGGTTCTTAAATGGAGATTCTTTCCCACTCCTCCTTGTGCCAAAGCTGTGCATGCCCCTCAATGAAATGTGGAGAACGGCCGGTCTGCTGCACTGCGGCACAGAGGCTACCATGAAAACAGTTCTTCCCCCCAGGCGCTTTGTGCGCTTCTGTTCACGGGGCTCAGAACCCGTCATGACTGGGGCCAAGAAACCATGCAGCTTCTCCACGTATATCCTCTTTCCTTTCTCTGCACACCACCAGCATCAATGAGCCCGTTTCCTTTCCTCAGTCCTCTTCTGCCCTTCGTGAAGACTAGCCGGCCTGCCAGTCCTCAAATGTCATGGGGTATCCCAAGGGAACTTTATGGTCACAAAGTAAGTACAACTCCCAGATGCTATTTTTGCCCAATTAGCCAACTTGGGTGGAGAGTGTGGTTTAGGGTTTCAATTTCCCAGAACATACTACCTCTATTACAAAAGTCAGGAAATGGTTCCGTGACATGGTGCCTATCAGGGGGTAAGTTACCATCTCTCTCCATTGGGAAAACGTAAGTTCACCCCATAGCAGGTCTGAGGAAATGCCTGCTTGTGCTCTGAAAGGCTGTTCTCATAGTCTCTGAAGGCCTGAAACATGGTAAACCATGTTATATCCAAAGACATCCAAAGGGTAAATGAGCTACTCCAGGATTTGACTATTCGCAATTCACATTGTGGGTACATGGTTCGATATGTAACCCATTCCAGCCCAGTAAGAAAGAGCCAGTGTATAATGAGGGGTTCTAATTTGTTTGGAAGATCCCAAAGTATTACTAATTATGCCCTAGTCTTATTGTAGTAAAATCATTAATAATTATTGTAACTGAATACAAATTTTTCCAATGAAACATACCACATACCTTTTCTTCCCCCCTACTAATCAGCTTTGGAACACTATAAAAAATGTGTTGGTTGTTAATCAGGTAATAAGATTTTACATTTTTGGCCTACGTTGAATAAACTCAGTGGTATTAAATAGACTGAGTTTTGTAAGAGAAAAGGAAATACTGTTTTTCCCAAGATGACATTCTTGGATATCACTGTCAAAATATTGTCTGATAGAAAAAAATTGCAGGAATGATTAAACTTGTGTATCAAATAGATTTCTCTTTTTCAGCATCAACTAGCACAAGTTCTTTTCAAAACCTTGTGAAGTGGATCTACTTTCTAATTTACATAAGCATACAGTCCCCAAAAATGATACTAAAATTCTGCATTTTTAAGGGAATGTTCTGACAATCTGATCTTTATGCATAACTTTGTATTTAAAATCAAATGTGCCTGGATTTTTCTAGGTCCTCTGATACAAATGTGACATAGTAGAAATTTTGTGTTTAGAACATTAATTTTGATAGTTCAAGAAATCAGCCAGTTAGAATTATCTAAACCTGGATTCTGATTCTTCTAAGAAATGAAGTTAGAAGAAATTCCTTTTGCTGGTTTCCCCTTTGGGATAGCTGGGTGTGGTTTATTTTCTTCTCCAGCTAGAACAAGATATGCAGGAAAATCTTACAACTCAAATTCCCTGTTCTTACAAACAAGCTTAAGTAGAAAAAGAAAAAAAAAGTAGATCAAGCCTGGCTTAATCGTTTGCTTATACTGCTGCATAGACTGGATATTTTCCAGGTTAACAAAAATAAAGCCACAGGGAAGGTATTTGCAGTAGTATATATAAGCTACTGGCTCACACACAGTTTAATGGCTGAAAGTATATAAAAAACACAGAGGCGGAAGAAAAACAATAAGCAATTATGAAACATAACAAGGTTTCTTATTCTTTATTAGTTTAAAGGAAGCTAGAACCTGATAACAATATGCCACATATGGTTCAGAACCAAACAAAGAGTGCCTAGTGATTTATTTTGCACTGCTCCGTTTAGGAAGTGAGAGAAACAGCTCTATTGGCACTCAAGTTTATTTTCAATTAAAATTCCCATAAATTGGAAAACATCTCCAAAAACAGCAAAACTGGAAAAAAATGTTATTCAGAAAAAAACTTTCAGGATGCTTGTTTTCTAACGTGCCTTGGATTGTATGTTAAGTCTTACAGGGCCACTCAAAAAATAATTCAACCTCTATGTTCATGTTTATGATGATAAATAGTAATGTCCTTTGATGCAAATACGAGGAAAAATTTGTACTTGCTTAGTTTTGAGCATTGAAAACACTTCCCCCTCCCCCTCCAAATTCTGCCATTTTCTCATGTCCCACATGAATAAAAGGACACAGCTTAGAAACCAAGGGCCTTGCTGCCATTGTGTTTTTCTAATTAAAATTCAGCGTATTAAACACAGTTGAGTACATCCATGCATACATGACATACTGTTATCACAAACCGGAAGCTCCACTCAAGAGGACCGAGCAAAGGCGCATTTCATAACATCATTAGGATTCACTGTACACCGTGGTTCACAAAGGCTTTGTCAAAGCAGATAATAACGGTCTGTCAGAAATGCATAAACAGAAATTTATATTAAATTGTCCTTTTCCTCCTTTTTTAGCATGGGAATGTAGTTGCAGTCCCAGTATATAAGCCAGAGCTTAACTTGAAAAGCCTTCCATGTTCTTAAGGTTGCAAAAATATTATCAAAATAGAGTATATAAAAAAAAAATGAGGCAAAGATGATTTGAGTAACTAGGTGGGGGTATAGTAATCGAACATAAAGACTATCAAAAGAAGGTGTAGTTCAGGAGTGTGAAAGTAGGTAGAACTCAGGAGTCACAAGGCAGTGTTTAATTTGAAACAAATCAAACAAAAGCATTGTTTTCTTTTCCTTAAGAACCTTTGGTACTCTTTAAATGTTATAATCTCAAAAAAGAAACCTCTCATTAAAACATTTTTTTCTTTTATGTCCTGCTGAGTGAAAATGCCTGAGGAGACAAACTTAACATGCTGACCTCTAACTGTAGTCCTAAGTATGATGTTCTCTGGAGATTCCGTGTTGAGAATTTACTTTTTTAGACTCAATACTTTTCTTTGCCATGTTTTTTGATCATGCATATGTGCTGAAACAATAAAGGATTTAAATGCATCAGTTACTTAGCAAAATATGAGATGCAGAAATGTTATGTAGTAACAACAGAATGTAGTCCTGTAAATGGTTATTGTTCATTTACATATATCTGTGTGTTTCTGTATGTGTGTATGTATGTATGTACGTATATAAAAGTCTGAAGAGACCCATTCAAATGCTTGACAAAAGTTTCTTGGTTATTTTAGTTTTGAGCCCTATTCAGATCTGGCTCCTTCGGTCTGTAACAACCAGAAATGCTGAGGGAGTGGTGTGTTAGCTCTAAGGGAGATAGAAGTCACCTATGGGGAAAATTACAACCTCTAGGGTGAATGGAGAAATAGCCAAAGTAAATGCAACATTGACTCCTATTGGACCCTTTCTGGATGTCGAGTGTGTCGAGAATATTTTGATTGCAAGCAACAGAAGTGGAGTCAGGCTAATGTGAGCAAAAATGAAAGGCTTTATTGGCAGGACACTGGAGTAGTTCACAGAAGCAAGGAAAGAGCTGAGCAGTTTCAGTGAAGCAATTGGAAGGCAAGACAAGTGCAGCTCTAGACCTCAGTCCATGGAGCTGGGGGCTACTCTCTGGGGCACCTCTATTTAGTGGCTTAAGATACCAAACCCTCAATCTCTGTAACTCTTGTTTTAGGATAGAGGAGAAACTGATTGGTCCATGTTGGTAAGTTGTCTGTCTCTAGATCACTCAGCAATGGTCAGGGTTGCATAGCTGGGGGTCTACACTGAGGGTCCGCGTGTATATGTTGCAACCAGTTCTCTCAAAGGGGGAATAGTTATGAGCTGCATGCAACAGTAATTGGTACTTGCTAGATTTCAAGCACTGACACAAAACAGTTTATGGAATATTGACTATTACCATGGTTTGATGGACATAGTCAATGACTAAGAGAAAAATCAGTATCAAGCCATCGCTCTGCTTTCAGCTTCTTTATTTCTTTAGTACAAAGTAGAGATAATCATAATTGTTTCCACCATTCTAATACCTACCTTGTAAGGTAGTGGTGATAATTCATTGAGATTATGAATGCAAAGTGCCCAGAATATTTCTGAATATTCCAGAATACTCCAGAATATTCCTGAAGATACTATGTGGCAGCCATCATTACTAGTTCAATAATTTGTTGATATAACTGTTAAATTCTTATGAAAAGAAGGTTAAGGATTTGCATGCAAGACTTACATTCCGATCTCTGAAGTATTCATTGTAATCTAAGGTGTAACCCACCGCAAACAAGTCTGGAATCTCAAAACCAGCATCTGAGTAGAGAGAGAGAGAGAGAGAGAAAACAAAAGAACAAAATTTAGATAACTTAAATATAAAGCCACCATATACTATTGCTGGCACTTACACTGTGAAGATGTTTCATTTAGGCAGAAGCAAGTGAGAAAAGCAATGCATAGGATGAGCCCCCAAGGACCTGGATCAGAGCAACCCCGGGAGACCAGACAAACAAGCAAACATACAGTGAAGAATGGCTGCACTCTTGCTATGCAGAACTGAGAATGAGCTTGTGCAGCCCAGTGGATTACAAGAAGTATGCATGAGTTAGTCATGTAGCCCTGCTGTTCCAAAGCAAGCAGTATCCAGTGGCATAGTGCCAAAGGAAACACTCTAAATAGCATATGTTGCAGTTCAGATAGAAGGTCTTAGGATACTGTAGTTCGCAAAGAGGTACACAGGCTGTTGTAGTGAGGAAGCGATGCTCTCGGTGAACTCAGGGTCCACGGCTGGACAAAAGGCTGGAAAGCAAAACCTTGGAGAAAAGATGAAAGGAAATGGTATTGTTCAGTTTGAGGAAGAGAATGCTAAGGGTTATTCAAGGCAGGTGATATTAATTAACTCTCTCTATTGACGGCAGGATGAGAGTCAATGGATTTAAATGTCTACAAGGTGCTTAGGTTAAACAAAGGAAGGGTTCATTGAAATAAAGATGATTTTTATTGAAAAGCATCTTTAAGGAACAGACAGTTGCTCTCCTTCAGAAACCTTGAAACAGAAAAATGTGCCTATGCCACAATGATTTTCATCCTCTTTTCAGTGTTTTGGAATCTATGTTTGCTTATTACAGTATTGCAGGTGAGAGGGGTACTTGCTTACTTTTATGGAACTGTACTTTGGTGAGGCTAGTGGACTTACTACATGGTGAATACTTACCACCATTTTGATCACTGCACCCCAAGGTACTTTCATAGGGAGAAACCAACTGGTTCCTGATCCCAGAAAGTTGTAGAGATGAGGGACGTATTTTCTAGGGGACTGCAGTACGTGTCACTGTTGGCAAGCCCAAATGACTCCTCCAAATTGCAGGTCTCTTGAGAAAATTTATCAAAGAGGAGAAGAAAGAGCACAAGAAAAGATGTCAGGACACATAAAGGATGTCATTGAGCATATAGGAAAGAGTCAATTATGCAAAAGGAACAAGAAGAACAAAGCCTCAGGAATCCAGGAAGAAGAGACAAAGATTCTGAGCTAATTGAAAGAGTATTAGTAAATCCCAGAGTCTCCTGGGCTTTACTGCAATGACTTTACAATGAGGAATGCAATCCCTACAACAGGCTTGGCAACTCAGACTGGGAGAAGGCAGTTCAGATGGCCAATCCTTCCAGCTGTCATGGATTAAAAGAAGGAAGTTGGATCAGTAGGACAGTTAGGAATCACAGTGACCTATCTCTAGCTGGTAAGTGGGTAGAGTTCCAACACTTGTATTTGCAATTATAGATGTTACTTGCAGATGTAATTCAAAAGTATGAGCAGTGATTGGAACCAGATGGCCTGGGATCAATACTGACTCTAAGTTTACAGCTTTGTGACCTTGGCAGACGATTTAATCTTGTAGTGTTCAATTTCCTCATCTGTAAAATGGGCATAACAATACCACCTACCTTAGAAAAATGCTGTGAGAATAAGTGTGTTCATCTCTGTGTAGCTTTTAGAACACTGTCAGGCAAATCATATTCTCTTTCTTAGTATTACCTGCTATTATTTTATTAATGTTGTTACTAAAAGTGACACAAGAAATTTGTAGTCAGTTGTATATGTCGGAAGTGAGTGTCTTTCAATTTCAGTTAAAAATCTTATCTATACAGTATCTTACATTATTTTCTAAGAAGATTTCTGTTTAACTTAATATAGGTTACATTCCCCAAGCCTGGACAGGAGCATGCTATCAGGTGTTTCTGCCTAGAACTGATATGTCTAGATGTAATGCATCCTGCATAGGAATTATACTTGTTTTTAGAATGAAGAGTCACAGGCTAAATGTCACTGGCACATTACTCATCCATAGCATGCTTCTCTTGCTCTAATGTTTGTTCAGCTTGCTCATGAGAATTGTAGCCAAATTGTCCCAGAGGCTTTAGAGCAAATGTAATATAAAAATCAAGCTGAAGTCTGCCTATGCAAGTGAAAAAAAAATCACCTCTAGTGTTAGAAAAATAATCAAGCTGCTTGTTTATCCTTTCTGGCATTAGAACTATTCATATGATGGGGAGGAGGTAGGAAAGTCATCCAGAACACGTGTCTGAAGTCAAGTGTGAAGATGGTATCTAGATATATTTGCTTGGCTAATTCCCTGTGTTACTGAACTTTTGTTTAGAGGTGGTGGTGTGATATCTTGGATTTCCCCTTCTGTGTGCTAAAATTCAGGCTTGCTGAAGGTCAGCATTGTATGCTGTCTGCGATAGTTCCTGGGAATAGCATGAGAATCCTCTAACCTTTACAGCACTTTTCTAGGTCTGAAGGTGGGGACAGCGGCCAAGTCAGGGATCCTATGCATCTGAGTCTGCCCAGTGGGGTGAAACCTATTAGCTGAGTTCTTTGGAATTAAGGTGTGATAGAAAAACCTAAAAATAAAATTATCCAGAGCATGCAGCAGAGTTCCCATGACTGATGCAAATTAGAAAATTAAAAACCATGAAAAGTTCTA